TCATGCTTGAACTAACCTTTTTCAATTTCCTAATCTCCAAGCTGTGAAGAGATATCGACAGTTGCCGGCGACGTAAACATATTCTGACAAGTCTTGTCTTTCGCGTCATCAGAATTTGTTGTTTCCAGTGCCAAGGTGCTAATTATTATTTGTCCCGTTTTCCTACGAAAGATTAGGTGGTACGTGAGGACGAACAGTTTATGATGGCGAAAATGTTTTCAGCACTTCGTCGCATCTCCTTGGAAGAACAACTCTGCAGGAAGCTGTAACCTATTCAAACCGCATTTACTACTGCCGCAAATCGGGCCTCGTTGAGGATTGCAGTGCCTGCATTGTATCTAGTGAGGCAACGAGAGCGAATTTACTCTGGCTGGCTGGCTGGCTGGTTGGGCAGTAGGTTATCTAAAGGAGGACAGAAATTCAAGACTGTAAGGTTTATCGGATTCAAGCTGCCAGGAGGGGGTTGCGAGGAGTTTTTCCCGTCTATTGTGTTTCGACCGCTGTGTGATGCTCAGCAACAACCGTCAGCAACTCCCTGAATGGGACTGTCAAGACATCACGAGCGGCTGTAGAATCCCGCTGTGCCTCAGAACAAGGTATAGGGGGAAGAAGACTCGAATTTGATAGAACTATTGGCAGGAATTCTTGACACCCCATCTCTGAAGGGTCTTTTTGGAATTGCTGCTCGAGGTGACTGGTTTGTGAAGTGGACTTGTGCAACCGCGGCCGCTCCACAGATCAGATCGAAATCGGTGTCTTGTAACCTAACTGCACGCATCCGAAAACTTGGAAAGACCGTGTTGATAGGCAGCGGGCCTGACACTTCTCATCCAGTGAGGCTCCAAGACAGATTCACTTTTCACCTTCTCTTCACCTTTCTTACTACTCTTGAAATTATACATCTACTACGACCTTCGATGGCTCCAGCTCGTACCTGTGTGTTCTAGTTTGGGGGGCTAATTCCGGGTTTTTCTTAAAGCTTATACAATCTGTGTGACAATCTGGGTTAGAATTCCTTGTCCCTGAAACTGGGCTGCACTAACCTGACCATTTATTTTCGTTGGAGCTGTTTGTACTCCAGTCCCGCAATTGGTAGATGCATCTTACGTCTGGGAGGGCAAATAAATGTTGTTGATGAACAGGTTGTTTTATGCGTAGTTTTTAGTCTATGGAAACCATTCGCTATTTCACAGGCCTCCTTCTGCAGTTATTTTCTCATACTGTTGACGTGCGGCCTTCCATGGCAATTGTGGAAAAATTTTTCTCTTTGTTTGTTCGGCTTATATGTGCTTAACTAACCGTTATTCGATGGGGCCGGCATCCGCAAACACATAATGACTGGTCGAAATGTTCGAATAACCGGCCTGTAGCGCAGAGGCAGAGCTGTCAGTTTATAAATGCCATTGTTCAATGATTCTGGGTTTGTATTCCAGGTCCTGTAAACCTGGTGTTGGGTATGGCTGGCTGTCTATGGATATTTTGGTTTCCCTTGTTTCGTCCGCTACTCTTTTCCTGCAGAATTGGGTTCAGCCGTCCTCAACATTTAGAGCACTTTTCGCGGAGGTTAATATCGCAAGGGTCGATGTCAAAAGACCAAGAAATCTAATGCCTGTGGCCAAGAAGACAGGCGATCGCATAGACTGGGACTGAGAGGGTTTCATCTGCAGTCGCGCACTATAGCTTTAAGATGAACCCTTTTTCACACCACTTGCGGCAGTGGCGGGTGGGGTACATACTTGGAATGCATTCGCAAACCCGAGAGACGTGAGCGCCGGCTCCTGCACTCCCTCGGTTATGCGTGCTCGTTTTGCTCTCTCTCTCTCTCCTCTCCTCCCACCCCTTCGCCCCCTTCCACCTCCTTCTCTGTCCGTAGCCGTTGGCGCCGTTTCTTTGTGTGTATGAGTGTGTATGCACACCGAGAAAGTGCGGTAGTGAGAGAGGGGTGTGATGGGGCTTTCAATAACTCACGGCTGCGCACCACCTTCAATCGGTTTCAAAGACTTATCAAACTCCCGAGAACGAAAGTTGTTTTCCGTGGTCGGGGTGGGGGAGGAGTTCGCTTTCAACACACCACTTACAGACCACCCAGGACAGTGTAGCAAAGTCCTATCACTGTGCAGAACTGGTGTCTCTTGGTTGCATGTTTTTGCCATTTGGATGTGCGCACGTGTAGGTTGTGGGTGCTGTGCGTTAAAGAGAGGACTTTCACCTCTTGGCCAGAAAACTCATTTGTGCGCAAAATCCTGCGACTTTACCTGTTCAGCTCGATTTCCTCCACCCACCACATCCCTTCTTACAAGTGTGCGTTCGAATTGTATTTGGCTGCTCTAACTAGAGTAATTACAACTGGCAAATTCATATACTGAGCAAATTGATATGGCGCGCTTGTAAACCACCAAACCTAACTGAAATATCAAGCGAAGATCACGGCCACTTACTCAGTAAATGCTGGCCCTGCGCAAAATTTCGGCATTTCACTACTCTTAGCTAACTCGGTAGATCCCAAACATAATTGTTTGTCTGTTCGAGATTCCAAACACTCGATGCTACATCCAACTCCCAAAAATTGGCTAATACGATCGAAGTTCTTGTCATTCAATTGGACGATCGAGGCGCCTTGTTGGACGTAAGACCAGAGCGTACTAATTGCAGTGGAGATTAAAGCTATTAGCTAACTCCATTTGCATATACTTCAGCAGAATATTGCCCAAAACATAGCCTCACTTCACCTTTTTCCATTATGACGTGCACAGATACAGGCTTGTTAAATGGTAAAATCAACGATACTACTGACAGCTTCAGAAAGACGGTAAAGGCAACCTTGATCAGGGAAGCAAGTCGATATTTATTGAAAGACAGCCAGACATAATTTTACTTTATTAAAATTAATAGGATTTGCTCGGCACCGAAATCTTTAACGAAATTGTTTTGAACTGCTTCTTACCTGCGAAAGTTTAATACTGTATAGACCACTTTGAGCGAAATATCTATAACACAGAGCATGTTATTTCTGGAGGGTGCAGAGTAAATTTTCGAGGCGCACTGGCACAGCGTTTGTAATGACTGGTAGTTTTGATAGCGGATTTCAATGGGTTTCCAGAACTATGTCCGAAATTATGCATTTTGTTAAAAAATATCCCAACAGCTGTGCCGACTGAGGGATGAACAGAAAATAGCTAGCATTTCTAAGAGTTTAACAGTTGTACAATTGCGGCCGTTTATTTTTATCTTTTAGACGGATGTTTCCGGCCTATAAAGTCTCTGTGACCGGCCTGGATCTCAAGTCCAAGTACGTAATGATGATGGATATCGTACCGAGAGATGAGAACCGCTACAAATTCCACAACAATGGTTGGGCTGTTGCGGGCAAAGCGGACCCGGAACCCACGAAACGCCTTTACATCCACCCCGACTCGCCTGCCACGGGAGAGCTCTGGATGCAAAAACCCATCTCCTTCCACAAGCTCAAACTAACAAACAACATTGCCGACCGTCAACCCTTTGTGAGTTGCCTTTTGTTCTCTCCAGAACCTTCCACAAGCAGACTGAATGTCGAGGTGCAGTGGGCGTTAGTGAATGTGAACGGTTTCCATGTCCGTTTTGTACAGGAATGACTAAAGTTAAACGCGGACACGGCGGCTGTAGCCGGCAGAATCGGTACAGTTCAGAGATGCAGGTTGGGGCGTGGTGCTGGGAGAGGAATGAAACGACCCTTTAGAGGTCATCAAGCAGTCGCCTGAGCGGTGAAACCACTTTAGCCTTCCTACTGGCGTCAAGGACTATTAACTTCCCTCGCCTTCACTCTTCCAAGTAGTTTGCTCACGCCTACAGATGGATGATGTCCAGTCTGGAAGAAGAGACGGCGGAAGGAGGAGCTTCAGTGCACATCAACAAAAAGATGCACAATTGCGCATGCGCACAGGGACCTGCGCACCTACAGCGCGTACTTCTCCGGGCGGCAAAATTAATCGCTTCGCTGGTCTGTGAACAAAACCGCCAACAAGCATCCTGCTGACGCCATCCGTGCATAAGATCATTCACGGAAAGTGTCACCGCTCTTAGTGGAGCCCACTTTCCTAATTGGGCGGAACAATACTATCAAAGGCTAAGGAGATTCGGGAGTATTGAGAATTCTTCGCAATGGTTAGAGTTTTTGCGTGCGCATCCGTGGATGTAGACGTCTCAAGGCTGGAACATGCCTAGGACTTCCAGAGACATATTTTTACCTGCTCTTATAAGCGAAAGCTAGGATGGGTTGTATAAAGCTGAAAAAAGCGTTTAACAGGAATTTTGTCTGTAAAGAATCTTACATTAGTGAAAAGTGAAGGACAGGAACGACTTCATTTATCGTATATCACCGTTTAGTCAAACGAAGATAATGTACCGATTATGATTTTGTGAACTTTAGAGGCCCACAGCAAAACCAAACTTCCCAATTA